CCGTATTTTCCGCACTATAAGGCACCGGATTATAAAGCGCACCTTCAAATGAATGGCCTATTTGAGAACTGTTTTCATATATAGGGCGCACCGGATTATAAGGCGCATTGAATAGAACGTGTTTACAACTGAACAAGCTGGAGATATTGTGAATATATAAATATAAATACGTATAAAACGTAACGTATAAAACTACAAAAACAAAGTACATAAGACGATTTCCCCAAATAATAAATTATTTCTTTGACGTTTCTCTTAACTCTCAAAACGTAGTTTTATACGTAGTGCATTCACAATAACTCAACGTTGTTCAAACGTTAATGTGCATATTCACAATATCTCCCAGCCTTGTTCAGTTGTTAACACGTAAAAGAAACAGTCTGATACCGCTAATTCAAACGTTAGTGCAAGGGTGCCCAAACAGACGATCGCGATCGACAGGTAGATCGCTGACTGATTCTCAGTCGATCGCGAGATGTTTTGTCATAATAAAATACAATTGTAAAATAGAAAAGTGATTTCAATTCATCTCATTGCACTGTTTCCCACACACGATACCTGTGTTGGGAGCCCAAGTATACTTCCGACCTGTGTATTTAATTTTTCATTTATTCATGAAATTGCTGCGTGCATGAGAGAGCGAGCGAGAGAGCGAGAGAGAGAGAGCGCGCGCAAGAGAGAGTGCAGGCATGCGCAAGGACGTGCAGGTAAAACCGGGGGGGGTAAATGTTTTACCAAAAAGTCATATATAGAAACTATGCTACGAGTATTAAGCACATTTGATGAAACTGCAGCTACTTTTTTCTGCTCCTCTCTGCTGTCATGACTGTGAGCATCGCGGGGCACGAGACACACCAACAAACAGCGCAAACGCACACGCACACGCACACCACACACACACACACACACACACACACACACACACACACACCACACACACACACACACACACACACACACACACACACACACACACACACACACACATTGCACTGGAGCGCCAGCCACCACGTGAACCTTTTACTTTTAGTGCTACAGCACACAGTTGATCCGTGATCCGTACGGACCGAGGTGGGAACACACGTGACCCGGTCAAACAGTCGGTTTGGACTTTACTCCGTTCACTCTCACCGTGTCTGCAGCTAATTTAACAAAAGCAAAATCATCTCACAGCAGCCTGCTGTTGTCTGTAGTCTGCATTATTTTTTACAGAACTCTCATTTATTATTTTCTGTTTGTTGTGTGAGTATTAAATGCATTTGTAGGCTGTTGGTAAAGGCTATGGCTCACTATGGACTGGTAGATTCTCGCAGACTGGTAACTTTAAAAGTAGATCTTGGTTCAAAAAAGTGGGCACCCCTGCGTTAGTGCATAACTCAACATTGTTCAGTTACGTGTAACACGTAAAGCTCACTTTTTCAGTTCATTCCCCGTCCACGAATCCCTCAAATTCTTCTTCTTCAGTGTCCGAATTGAACAGTTGGGCGAGTACGGCATCCAACATGCCCGGCTCCCTCTCGTCATTATCCGAGTCAGTGTCGCTGAGCGCCGTGTACAACCAGTATGGATCAACCAATTAACCAATTGATCCATAAATAAGGGGCTCCGGATTATAAGGCGCACTGTCGTTTTTTGAGAAAATTAAAGGCTTTTAAGTGCGCCTTATAGTGCGGAAAATACGGTACATGTTATTCTCAGTAGCTTTGGTACAAACTGGAGTAAACATTTTGATTTAATATGTGGTTTGACAGTGTTAGAAACACTTTGAAATACTTGGCTTTTGAGAACAGGTTGGTCAGCTCATCAAATGTTAAAACCAATGAACAGGTGACATGTCTTAAACCACATCGGGTGAAACTGCTTGGCGAGCAAGATGTGAAAGCAGCAATACGTCTCTATTGATCTTATATCAATTCAAACAAGAACAGTGACACTGTGATGACAAGGACTCGACTCTTTCTAACGTCCGTCAAAGTAAAATAGGAATTTTGAATAAAAGAATAAAGCTTGAGTTGAGGGGCTGACAACACTGAATGCAACGAGAACAATGATTATTAAAATATATGCTGATGCTACTTATACTAAAACTGATTTTAAGGTCAGACTGTATGTTTATGATGTATTGTTTGTTTTGTAGGCACCACGCTGCTCAACAGAGGTTTGAATAAGCTCTTTTTGTTAACCCACTAACTGCAGTCAGAAGTGTTGGTTTGACGTTTCAACCATTATAGTAGAAAAATCACCAAACTTCAAGTCTGTCTCGTACACATGTTGAGTGTTGACTAATCTGTGAATACGTAGTTTGTGCTGGTGTAAGCTGATTTATTGAGTTCAGACAGAGCTCGAGGTTTCTGTGTCCATCCGCTGGCAGGACAAATAACACAACTTAAACATCAAATGGCCCTGACTGCTCTTACAGCATTGCTAACACCATCACCACAAACAGCACCCGAGCCAGTAACTCCAACTTTATTACCAATGTCACCATGATACCACCACCAACTTAACTTCCATCAACACGGCTAACACAAACACTATGACCACTAACACCTTCACCAATGCCACCATCAACTAGGCTAACACTAATCAAACCAATGCCACTAACAGCACAACAACCCCAACACATAGTGATAATACTTACACTTCTCCACCTACAACTCAACCAACAGCACTTACACAGTCACCACATGCACTAATAATAACTATAAACACAATGACTGACATGGTGAGTTTAAAAAACTCTGATAGCAACATTACTAACAAAGAACAGACCATAAATAACAACACTTCTAACATCAAGACTGACAGTAACACAAAAACCACTTACACCATCCCACAAACACAAAAACAACCATGCACATAAAAGTAACACCGCCACTTACACCAACTTCACCAACAAAACCAACATCATTACAACAAACACAGACAATACTTACACCACCACTAACAAAACTAACACTACAGCCAAAACACCTAACAAACCCACCAACACAACATAGACATAGCAAACACAACTTAAACAAAAACCAACCCAGACCAACATGCAAACGGACACAACCAACTTCAACACAACAATTACCACACACAAGTAAACCACCACAAAACTAATGCTAAAACTTACACAATTACACTAAAACCAACAACATTACAACAAACACAGACAATACTTAACCACCACCAACACAACTAATTCTACAACCAACACATCCAAAATCAAGACAACGCCAACACCACCAACACAATGAACAGAGTTTAAGTTTAAACCAACACAACCAGCATCAACACAGGAAACTTTCTCCATTACTTACACCACCTTCTATGAAACTAACACTGTAACTATCACCACACCACATTATAACACCTCCACTAACAAAACATACAGCACAGCAAACACAACTTAAACCATAACCAACCCAGACCCAACCAACCAACACAAACAATATCAACTCAACAAACACCACACTACGTACACAGCTACTACCAATAACACATACACTGACACTACTTGCACCACCACTAACGCAACTAACTCTACAACCAACACAACTTGTACCACAACCAACACATCCAACATCAAGACTCACACCACCACCAACACAACCAACACAAATACAACAAACCAACACAACCAACATCAACACAACAAACACAAGCACTTCTTGCAACTAACACTAGAACTAACACAACTGATACCACAAACAAACCACCAACGTCAAGAAAACTCACACCACCAACTCAATTTTTACCACAACCAACACAAACACAGCAAACCACCAACACGACGAACAACAGTACTCTGTCTTTAAATGTGTTGTTCTGGTTTCCAGTGTCTTGTTGTATTCTTACATGTGTTGTTGACATCTTCTGTCTCTTGTTGTCATCTTCAGTCCCTTTTTGTACGAGTCATTTCTCTATTTGTTCATTGTACTTAAGTGGTATCTTTAGTTGATGTTCCTTTACAAACAAACGATTCTGACATGTTGCTTTGTATGAAAAAAGACTTAAACTGCTGCTAACACTCTAACAGATATCCACACATAACCTTTGTGATGCTAATAAACAGAAAATAAAGCGTTTAAACACATTTTTGTGGATATGTAAAAGCATTTTATAACCTTTTTAACTTGATCTGCTTCACTTTCCTTCACATTTGTTGACTGAGCCATTTACACACCTCCACAACTCTTCATAGATCTATTTTCATTCCGCATGTTTTGCAGATTACGTACTAGGATGATGTTTATTTTTTGTTGTTTGTTCATTTCATTCATATTCTTGCACAGGCCTGCCTGGACCTCCAGGACCACAAGGAGAGAGGGGCTTCAACGGACTGCCAGGTCCACGAGGAGCTATTGGACCTCCTGGACCTCTTGGACGATCAGGTGAAAGTGGACTACGAGGTCTACCTGGTATGTCTACCTGATAATTTAAAGATTGATAGAGGCAGTAGGGCATAGGGTTCATAGAGATATGAACTTTGAACACAGTGGCCCTAATATAAAGTTTGTTTACAGAGATTAAATTGATCAAGACAGCAAGATGATTATCTTAATAAAATAAAATAAAATTGATTTCTCTTTATGATATTTATTCTTCCCCCGTCTCTTATCTTCTGCTCTTTTTCCTCACAGGTCCCAAAGGTGAAACAGGTATGTAACCTATGTTTAAAAAAAAAAAAAAAAAAAGTTTCACATAGAAAATATGCCTGAATAAGCAGAGACACATCAGTTGTGTTTGTTTAAATATTGTTCATTCAGTTGGGTTCTTCTATTGCCTGGGTTCTAATAATGGGTTTTTATGACTTTCCTGTGATGTTTAGTTTATTTAGGTTGTTTGGGTTCTCACACTGTTTGGTTCTTGCGTTGTCATTTGTGTTTTTATTGTTGTTTGGGTTCTTAAGTGTTTGGGTTTCTCTGCTTTGTTCTAATGTTGCTTTTGCAACTTTTTAAACCTGTGTTTTAGTGTTCTAACATTAGTATGCTAACACAACAATGCAGGCCAGAGGAAACTGCAGCTCAAGCAAAGGACAATATTATCCACCGCTTGCACTTAACGGTGCTTAATTATGGTGCGTTCATATTAATAACTCCTTTGTGTGAACTCAAGTGGAGGGGGGTTGGAGGTGTGACTCTGGAGGAGAGCAGCTAGGCTTCAGTATGGAGGAGGCGTGGCCAAACAGCAGTTTGTTTTGGTTTAATGCTGGTGCTCAAGGGCGACATCTACTGGATCAAAAAGTCGCACATTCTTCCTTTAAAGATTCTAAGTAAACATAAATGCACTCTTCAGGTCATATGCCAGGTACATTGCAGTTGCAAAGTAATTGTAACTGCAAAGAAATGATGCTTACTAAGGAACCAACATCACTTTCAGTATTGGAGAAGAACGGATAATATAAACATCCTACTGTGATACGACCAGAGAAAGTTTCTCCACACTATCTCTACATTACACTTTGGATACTTGAAAGTGTGTTTATGTGTGTCTGTGTGTGTGTGTGTGTGTGTGTGTGTGTGTGTGTGTGTGTGTCTTCTTATCAGGGCTACCTGGTGCCGACGCTCACATACCCAGACTGTCGTTCTCTGCTGCTCTCACTGTCCCCATGGAGAGATCAGGAACCATCGTCTTTGACAAGATCTTTGTTAATGAAGGAGACTTCTACGACCCGAGAACAGGTAAACGTGAGGGGAGGTTGAGTCTCCCCTCTATGCTTCTTCTATTAGCATAGGACCACCTACTGTCCTCATTCAATCTTGCTGAAGTGTTACCTGGTGCTAATCCCGACTCATTCTGTCACCTCCAGGTATTTTCACTGCTCCAGTAGACGGACATTACTTCTTCAGTGCCATCCTAACGGGTCACAGGAACGAGAAGATTGAGGCTGTTTTGTCCAAGTCTAACTACGGCATGGCCCGGGTGGACTCCGGAGGCTACCAACCTGAAGGTCTGGAGAACAACCCTGTCGCTGAAGCTAAAACCACTCCTGGATCTCTGGCTGTCTTCAACATCATCCTGCCTCTGCAGACCCGGGACACGGTCTGCATTGACCTGGTGATGGGCAAACTGGCTCACTCTGTGGAGCCCCTCACCATCTTCAACGGCATGCTGCTGTATGAAGACATGTAAAGAGTTCATACTGGAGAACCAGAACAACCCTGTTTAAGACTCATGACAAACCCACAGGAGGCTGCACCCTGAAGTATGATGTCACTTCTTCTTTCAGGAGTGTTTTTATGCTGATGACAGAATGTTTTAAACGAATGTTCACGCCCGAAGAGAGATCACTTGTTCCTAACAGAACTTTGACTGATTTTTTGTGTTTTTTTTTATTTTAAAGAGAGTGTTTTTCACTTCACATCTGGACGATTGAACAAGTCAATTTATTCATATGACTGGTTTAACCAGTCCGCTAAAGTGATGTGGTCCGAGGACCTGAAGTCAGAGCAGCACTGTGAAGACAGAAGTGCCCGACAACCAGGACCAGCTGTTCCTTGAAGCCTCTTACTGCTGCTATGTGGAATGACACAAACTCTTGTGTGGAACCATTTCAGCGTTCACAGTGGAAACTGCAGTTAGCACCCTCTACAGGCTACAGAGATTATTACAGCTTCAATGTGAACCAACAAAGTCCTCATTGCTTCTTAGAGGCTGTGTCCTAATTCAAGGGTAGCATCCTTCCAAGGGCCCAGCCTATGAAGGAAAAAGCCTTCATGTTCAGCGTCGACCTCTCAGGCCCATTAGAAATAAAACGGTCTGGTCTTCAGAGGAATCCCTGTTTGCATCACCAGCTGTTCCCTCCCTTACTTCCCTTAAAGCACTGCCCTTGTCACCTAGCAGCCTTGACTTGCTGCATCAGAACTTGTTAACATAACTTAGATGATTTGAAGTTTCAAAGCCCCCCTTTTATTTTGTAGTATAGGTAGCTATTTGATTGAGTTAAAAATCAATTCCTCACAACTAAAAGTGTATTACTTGGCCATTTGGGAGTAAGCAGTTTGAATTGGCGTGCACCTTGGGATATATTGGGCCACTGAGGATGAACTGGAAGGACCTTGAGTGGGTTGGTGAGAAGGACGCATTTGAAGGAGGCTTCAAAATGGGACAGTTACAGTCACTCAGCTGTGATGTTATCAGTGTTGAAATGCACGCCCTGAGGGATGGAGCCCCTGAATTGGGACATAGCTAGAGCCTCACTGATGGAGGTTAAAAAAGTCCTGAGGGTGGCGCTGCAGGAAACATTATGAGGTCACTTTGATAAACAAGGCCCACCTGGAGCAGGAAGTTGAAGTGAACATTTATTGATGATCTGACAGTCATGTGTTAAGATATCTGACAGTTGTTGATCTTTGGACTGGTAGATGTGATTATGGATTAAAATGTTGGGACAGACAGATGGACGCTCATCTTAAACCCTGCTCCTGGCAGGTCTGATGTCATGGCAACAAATGGCGGTGTGACTTTAAAAACAAACCAGGCTTTTTGCTTTGAAGCTCTATAAAGGCAGAATGTGTTTTCTGTTTGATTTAACGACTGAAATGAGTTCAGATTGTGAATGTTTTATTATAAAATGCACCTTTTATTGTTATGCCTGTATTTGTATGTCAAATATCACATAGTTCACATAAATGTTAAAATACTTAAGGACAAGGATGGAATTACTACATTTTTTCTAGCTTTAACAAATCCCTTTAAACCAGAGATGGCAAAAAAAAAAAAAAATCATCATATGCTTTACTTAAGTTAATGTTGCCACAGTGTACACATACTGCTTCCTGAATGTTTTTCACAATAAAACATCGAGACGATGTTCAGGAAATGTCCTTTGTGAATTTAAAGTAAAATGACGAAAATTAAGTTCTGTGTCACAGAAATAAAAACTAAAGTAAGAGGCTTTGATTAACTCGATACATTTATTTTGAAGGCCCTAAACAGGTTTTTTTATTTTTTTTTACAAAGTAACAGAAATATTGTCAGAGGGAAATAAAGACACACGGATTCAGACGCATGAGAATTACTCTCATTTTACAACTGTCCCATGGGCGCCTTTGGCTCAGTGGTAGAGTGGGAAGTCTCTCAAATGGAAGGTCGGGGGTCTGATCCCCAGCTCCTGCAGCCACATGTCCAATGTGTCCTTGGGCAAGACACTTAACCCCAAGTTGCTCCCTCAGTGTATGAATGGGATAAGTTACTTCTGATTGCCACTTTAAATAGCAGTCTCTACCATCAGTGTGTGAATGTGTAAGTGTGATCTGTAGTGTAAAAGCGTTGTGAGTTGTCAGAAGACTAGAAAAGAAGCTCAAGTCCATTAACTGCCCTGACCCAGCTACGGGCCGTCATGTCGGCCCGGGCTTGGACAGAGAATCTCACCTCTTGTATAGATACGTAAGAACAGGGACAGTCACTTCCTCTGAGCTCTAGCTTAGTCTGAAACAGGGAATGGGAGGTCAATATTAGCCCATCGAGGTGACAGAATGTGGATGCTATTTAAATTTATTGCAGTCAACAGAATCTATTCATAAAAATGATTTTTTTTGGCCTGTCCCCGACTAAGGATTTACATAGTCGAGACTGATTTGTCAAATTTTGCCTTAAGTCAACTGACAGTCGAAAAATTTGTTGTTGATTTTTGTGATGATTGATCTATATTCTCATTTGAGTTAAATAAACAACAAATAAAATAACAATTTATTCTATGATAGGACATCGTTTTTCTTACTCATTTAGTCTGCATTAATGTGACATTATATCGATATCACCCATGTCCAATACAGCAGGCGACCATTTTAATTTGTCAACCAAGAAATAGATTTTTATCACTAAGATAAAAAAGAACCTTATTCAGTAAGTGTTCGATTTCAAAAATAGAAGAAATTGTCAATATAATGATGATATACAAATTGGATCTGTGTCTGATTCTTTGACGGATGGTCATTGCATTGCAGAGTGTGTGTGAAGGAGAGTTTACTGTCAGTCAGCAGAATGTCTGAGACTCTTACACCTACAGAGAGCACAGAGACACTGATGAACTATAATATCTGTTCTGGAAAGCAAACCCAGCATAAAGAGGTTCAGTGAATGTGGTTTTGAACGTGCGGAGGTGCACCAGCGTGCCATCATCGACTATGTAAAAGGACAAAGTGCCACCTGGATGGTCCAAGTACACTGCTACTCTTTCTGAGGAACAGGAGGGTGAGATGTATGTTCCAACACCATTGTGACAGACTTTATAACCACCATATATAGATCTTCTCAGACTCCAGGACTGATCACAATCCCCAAACTCTAATTCAATTACTCCTCTGTTGTTCTTTCTTCTGTACGCCACTGATACATTAACATCTCCTGTATACTCAACCTCCCAGTAACAGCGACCTGTTAAAGCATTTGTACAAAACACCTGAGGACATTTGAAACTGTCCGGATGATCAGGATAAGGCTGATACTTCTCCACATAAGTCACCGTCCTTTTGTCAGCAGACAGTGTGAGGTATCTGCTCAGTGTGTTTGTGTCTACTTCCAGTTCACAGACATCTGATGGAGAAAAAGATAAATGAATCAGAACAATCACACTACATATATACTGTCTATTCATACCATCAGAACAATCCCACTACATGTCTATACAAATATTATATACACACACACACATATATAATTATATATTATTGTGAAGATGCTTCTTGGCAATAATTCTTATTCCGTTGGAAAGCCTGTTTATTTCCCCTTTAAATGGTGCCACAATCTTCCCTTGCTAGGGAAGGTGGTGGTAGGGATGATTTAAACAATTATCGTCCCATTTCCAAATTACCCTGTCTGGCAAAAGTCATGGAAGCCTGAGTAAATAACCAACTCAAGCTCTTTCTTTTCCACCACTCAGTACTGAGCCCGCAGCAATCTAGTTTCAGAGCCAATCAGCACAGTTTCAGCCATCACATCGGTGTCAAATGATATAAAACTAGTACTAGTCAAGAAGCATCATTGTGCTGCTCTTTTTATAGATCTTTCAAAAGCTTTTGATTATGGTTGATCACCACATTCTTTTAAAGAAATGATCTACTATTGGGTTGGATGAAAGTGTGTGCGTGGTTTTAGGATTACTTGTTTGATAGGCGTCAGTGTGTTAAATTAGGTCACGCTAAATCTGAATTTTTGTTCATTAACAGAGGTGTGCCACAAGGTTCAGTCCTGGGTCCCATGCTCTTCACTGTTTATATTAATGAAATTATTTCTTGTTTGAATGGTTGTCATGCCCATCTCTGTGCAGACAACACTATTTTGTATTGTACAGCAGATTCTATACAGTTAGCCATCAAAAACTTGTGACTTGCTTTTAATTCTGTCCAAGAATATCTCATTAGCCAAAAACTGCTACTTAATGAGATTAAAACCAAAAGTATGCTATTCTCCACAGCCAAAAATATTGATTATGAGAGGGGACACATATCTTATCTAAGTGGCTCAGAAATTGAGAAAATACATGAGTATAAATATCTTGGCATGTGGCTCAATGAGTAATTTACTTTTAAGTTTCATGTTGAAACTCTTGTATCCAAGTTGTGACTGAAAGTTAGCTTTATGTACAGAAATAAATCAAATTTTCCATTATTGTGCAGAAAAATAGTTATTGAAGCTCTATTCTTATCAGTGATGGATTACGGTGATGTCAGCTTCAACAGTAAAGCCTCTTGACGCCGTCTATCACTCCGCCCTCAGGTTTTTAACTGGTGATAGATTTGGCACACATCACTATGAGCTGTATGAGAAGATTGGTTGGCCTTCTCTTGAATAGAGACATTGTTTTTTATATATGTTCAAGGCTCTTATTGGTTAACTTCCACCTTATATCACAGAACTGTTGAAGTGGAATTTGGGCACCTACATGACTCGTTCTTCTGAGTGGCTTGTTCTTAAAGTCTCACAAGCTTTTACTGAACTCAGTAAATCTACATTTTCTTTTGATGCCCCAAATTCATGCGACGCCCTCCAGCAAACTCTAAGCATCGGAGTTCTTCCCTCTCCTCCAGAGAGCACTTTTTGTGCAATGCAATAAATATATATATGTATATGTGCATGGTTCAGTGCATGCAGTTTTTTTTACAACACTCACACCCCAATCCAGGTGGCTGTAATGCTTGTAACTGTTGCTGACAACCGCTGACATGGCGGAGCTACAAGTCCCATCTGCTTCTATAAATTAGCTGTGTTCACAGTCTATCATTGGAAACACCTTGTTCATGCTAAGGAATTAGCTTAGCATTGGGGTCCTTCTCATCCTGTAAGAGTTTCATTGTTGGATAACAACCCGCGTATGTGTGGAGCTTAAAAGCCCCCGGATATGAAAGCAGAGAGTTGGAGGCATTACCTATGGGCCTATATGTAATTGTAGAGGACCATGGCCGGGTTTAGCCTATAATTGAAAGAGCTGTAATTACAGACCATTTGCATGACCAAAAGGAAGAAGAAAGAAAATACATGCTTATTTCACAATGTAGTAGTCTTTGACATGCTTACGCTTTTTGATACCAGGTTTAAGTCTCTGCAGTCCACCATAGTCCACCCTGGAAGCAGAAACAAATACACAAACAACCTCATACAACTATAGTTGTTCTATATCTACCATTCAATATAAAGTAGAGAACACTGGTAAGTCAGACAAACAGATAAACTGTTTGAAAGCAGCTTTTGTCTCTCTCTCTTAATTCCATACTTGAGGCAGCGTGGATCCTCCAATACAGCAGACAGCTGCTTCACTCCTAACTCTGAAGGTTGATTGTTGCTCAGGTCCAACTTTCTCAGATGGGAGGGGTTGGAGCGCAGAGCTAAGGCAAGGGATAAACATCCTTCCTCTGAGATTAGACAGCTTGACAGTCTAAATGAACACACACATGCACAAACACAGATATTTACAGTTATTTACGGGAACCATTGCCCATACCAATGGAAATATGTAATAATGCTCTAAATAAATATATATTGATTTACATATTGTATGACACAGGGGTTAAGTAATACTTAACAAATTCATTTTTCCTCATGAAATTTGCATTGATTGCTCTTTAAACCAGTTGAACCCTAACCTTAATGTTTCCAGTTTACAGTTTAGACTCTCCAGTCCAGCAGACAGCAGCTTAACTCCTGAATCCCGCAGGTTGTTGTCACCCAGGTCCAGCTCTCTCAGGTTAGAGGACTGGGAGCTAAGAACTGAGGACAGAGCTTCACAGCTTCTTGCAGACAGTTGGCAGCTTCTCAACCTGAAAGGTATAGTCAGTCAGTTAATTTAGAGGTAAAACATGCCAACCATGAAGACGCTGGATAAAATCAAACTAATAGCTGATTCCTGACCTGAGAGTTTCCAATGTACAGTTTGGACTCCTTAATCCTGCTGAGAGTGTCTTCATCCCTGAATCCTGCAGGTTGTTGTTACTCAGTTCCAGCTCTCTCAAATTAGATGGCTGAGAGCTGAAAACCGTAGACAGGTCCTCACAGCTTTCATGAGACAATGAGCAACCACTGAACCTGAAAAATATTTTCAATAGGTCCCTTCAATGATTAATATACAAATCCAGATTATAATTTTGAAAAGTTGAACACTTACCTGAGTACAGCTAGTTTGCAATTTGGAGTATTTAGTCCAGCAGAAAGCAGCTTCACCCCCAAGTCTTGCAGGTTGTTATTACTTAGGTCCAGCTCTCTCAAGTTAGATGACTGGGAGCTGATAACTGAAGACAGGGACTCACAGCTTCTTTCTGTCAGGTCACAGCTACTCAGTCTTAACATGATCAGGAAACACAGAAAGTATGTGCTTAATGACATTATTCCTTGTCAAATAAAAACAAAATGCTTTTGATGTGGATTGTTATGAATGCACATACAAAGCTTTGTTTGAGGCTTTAACCACTGGCAGCAGCCTCAGAAGAGTCTGCTCTGAAACACAGTATTTCTTCAGGTCA